AACTAAGTGTTATTTAAATCGATATTATCAAGATCATAGCCATGATATACAATGAAGAATCTGATTAAATATTTCACAACTTTCAATTGAATCAGTAGTCTCATTTAAGCAACAAGGTGTATTCAAATCAATATTATCAAAATCATAGCCATGATATACAATGAAGAATCTGATTAAATATTTCACAACTTTCAATTGAATCATTTGTCTCATTCAAGCAACAAAGTGTATTCAAATCGATATTATCAAAATCATGGCCATGATATACAATGAAGGATCTCTGATTAAATATTTCACAACTTTCAATTGAATCAGTAGTCTCATTTAAGCAACAAAGTGTATTCAAATCAATATTATCAAAATCATCGTTATGATATACAATGTTGAATCTCTGAATAAATATTTCACAACTTTAAATTGAATCATTAGCCTCATTTAACCAACTAAGTAGACCATCCAAATACGATGTCTGACCTGCACAGAATAGAAAACACAAACTTTGAATCACGCCACACAAATGATGTGATCAGTTATCCCCATGAGCAGAAGCATCATCATGTTTGCACAAAACTGGACCAGGCAGACCAGAGAAGTGATTGTTGATGTTGGAACAAATGCACATATGAAATATCGTTATGTCTCTGGATCAATTTGGAACAAAAATGATAACATGATGAAGTACCCATGAAAATAATATATTAAACAACTGGCGATTTTAAATTATAAATCACATAAAAAAATTATATGCATCAGTATCCAATCATATGTGATGTTCAATCAACGTTTGAATTAAATCAACCGTGGCATGCTTGTAAATTGACTGGTGAAATTTTCAAATGATTTTTGGGATATTTCAAATGCTGTTTCCGCCAGTCAACCAGAGGTCATCGAAATGAAAAAAACAGCCACTTTCTTTTTAGCATAGTCTTTAAAAAATAGTATACATATATCAGTGTAAAGAATTTACCACTTTTCACATTTTTTCATCCAAGTATCGAAAAAAATTGATTTTGATTTATCCAGGCATTTAAAATAATGTGGCTGTACTCAGTCTGAGCATATAAAGATATTAGAATCTGATCGCTCCAGACATGTGTGTAGATGCGACTCTGATCGATCAAGGCATATCAAGAGATGTTGTTCTGATCGATACAGTCATCAAGAGATGTGGCTCTGATCGATTCAGGAATGTCAATCTGGCTCTAATTGATATGGGCATATCAGGAGAAGTGGCCTTCTATACAAAAATGATGCATAACACTTTTACACTGTGTGACACACAACCTCCAATAGAGCATTTTGGCCCATTTCTATTTTTTGAATAGAGAGCAACAATATCAGTTCTCGTATCATTCGCATGAAAAGTACGACATTCCTTAAGCTATGTAACAAATGGGGGATCCGATTGAGCAGCACATGCTGGATTTAAACCACTGATTTCCAGACTAATGAGCCGTTTAGATGCATTGCTGCTCTATGAATGAGTTGTGGTTTGTGTGATTTGTGAAACATGCGAGGTCAAATATATCATAAAGATGATGTTTCTAGTTTAGGATTACGATATCAATATGACATCAGGCTCAATGGCCAAACCAAAATAAATGAATTCTATAGATGTACAGTAAATATGTAAATATTGAACGCAACTCTTTTGTCTTCATATTATTAAATAGTATGTCATATATGTACAGTAAATATGTCATACAGATGATATTTCTAGTTTAGAATGACTAGACCAATATGACACCAGATTCAATGCTCAAACCAAAATAAATTAATGCCATATATGTACAGTAAATATGTCATACAGATGATGTTTCTAGCTTAGGATTACTAGATGAATATGACATAAGGCTCAATGATCAATCGAAAATAAATGATCTGATCGACCCAAGTATGCCAAGACTTGTGACTGATCGATCCAGGTATACCAAAGATGTATGTCTGGTCGATCCAGGCATTACACGATGTGGCTCTGGTTGGTTGATTTATGCATGCCAAGCAAATGAGCTCTGATAAATTAGGGCAGGCCAGGAGATGTGGCTTTGATAGATTCAGGCATGTCACATCCGCATTATTACTCTGCCAAAGAACCTCAATTATGTTGCTATTTTCAATTAACGGACTGACTCTTGCCTCAATCATGTAATAGTTATCAGTCCCATATGTTTGTTAATTACACCTTTATCACGTTGAAATGAAACTTGTCTGTCTTACCTGGATTGTAGCTTAAGGCAGATAATTGTTCATTAGACAAGTCTTCGTTTCCGGAACTAGACTCTTCGTTTCCGGAACTAGACTCTTCGTTTCCGGAACTAGACTCTTCGTTTCCGGAACTAGACTCTGCAACAAACAACGCGTTTCATTCATATTATTAAATAGTATGCCATATATTTACAGTAGATATGTCGTACACATGATGTTTCTAGTTTAGGGTGATGAGGTCAGTCTCAATGGTCAAACCAAAAAATAATGAATGCCATATAAATACAGAAAATATATCATACAGAGGATATTTCTAGTTTAGAATGACTAGACCAATATGACACCAGATTCAATGCTCAAACAAAAATAAATGAATGCCATGTATGTACAATAAATATGTCATACACATGATGTTTCTAGTTTAGGATGACTAGATCAATATGAGGTCAGTCTCAATGGGCAAACCAAAATAATGAATGCCATATATGTACAGTAAATATATCATAGAGCTGATCTTTCTAGTTCAGGATTACTAGAAAAATATGTCATCAGGCTCAATAGTCAAACCATAACAAATGAATGCCATATACGCACAGTATACATTTTACACGGTGGTAATCCATAAGTCCCCGTGTTCGGAACACTGGTCAGACACTTTTAGGGTTTAGTTGGTTAGGTTTAGGTCAAATGATTGATTGCAGAAAATCAATACTGTAAATAACTTGCATGACCATGAATCTGACAATCAAAACATGTGAATCCTTTATCTAGCAACATTAATGTTTTAACCTTTCAACTCTACTTTTCCAGTTACAAATCATGTCAGTGGTATTTTTATTCTGATTGTAGAACTTGACCATATTTCATATATTAATCTTTCGCATATGTGGTATATAGGACTAGAGAGCACAATTTCATTTCCGTATAAAACAATGTCATATATTTATTTGTTTGTTTATTTTCTTTTGGTGCATATATTTTATTTCTTGTTCGCATTGTGGACAAAATTGAAAACAATTTTAACGCAATATTTTGTTATTTTTGCACTTCAAAACTAAAGTAAATAATTTTCCATTGATCTGTATTATAACACTGAACACGGTAAAATTACCAGCTGACAGAATTGCGAACCTTATCTTGGAAATCACACAAAAAGACATTGTTTTTACTCATTGAGGAATAACCATTCACTCCGCGCTGCTATCCTGGATCTCGATGAGATTCCCTTTTGTCACCCAGCATGCACTATATTTAA